TTTATTGAATATAAAAACAAGAGGACAATATAAAGAAAATCCAATTGAAAAAGGTATACACAGTATTATTACAAAGAAACTTTTGATGCTAGATACTGAACAGGGGACAAAAACCCGTCAACTCCTTTGGGAAATTTACAGCTGCAAGAGCAAAATAAGCAAATCACTACACTCTTAACTCATCTTTCAGGAAGAAATAAAGGAGCTTAGACAACAAATAGTGGATTCAAAAAACCAAACTACAGCCCTTGTAAATTTACTGTCAAGATTAAATCAATCATAATTCAGTTATACTTGGGAGTAAGCGCAAAATACACTTCATAACCTCAGCCCACTTACTGCTTCAAGAAAATACTTAGTAACAAAAAAAAGTTGAACATTAATGTGGAAAATATTTCCAGGCTGAAATGTAAATAGTGAATATAAATGCCTTGTTTAACTTTAGCATACATAATATAAATGTAAACTAATTTTCTGTATGTTAGTTTAAGTTGTATACCCACTTAGTGTAGTTACTTTAAATTTACTAGTGCAACGAGGGGACACTGAACTCAGTGAGCAAAAACAATGTTTAGACATTCACGGGACAAACAGCTACCAACAATAAAATTGAATGTGTTAATTTAGTAACGAAAATGGAACTGCGATAGATAAAGGAGATCCTCTCACATGTGACTCACTGTATTGACTTACAAGCCTATTATTTCATTATTTTTCCCTTTACTAGAAACCATACAAATTTGCACTCATTTCTAAACAGGAATGTATTTATACTCTTAGAAACTTTAAACGGCTTTGAAGCCCAAAGCGTTTTTGAACCAAAGATCAAATGGGACTTTCCAAGAAAATGAAGCTGAGAAGAATCGGTTGAGTCCAGTTTCAAAAACTTGCCGTAGTGCGTAAAAACTACATATGATAAGATAAGATTTCGTTCGGATTTTTAACCCCGGAGGGTTAGCCACCAGGATAACCCCAAAAAAGTCAGTGCGTCATCGAGGACTGTCTAACTTTTTCCATTGGGGTCCTCAATCTTGTTTCCCCCAGGATTTCGACCCAACCCAGGTACCTAATTGCTGCTAGGGGAACAGGGCAATAGGGGTAAGGAAACGTGTCGAAATGTTTCCACCCGCCGGGAATCGAACCCGGCCCCCCCCGTGTGTGAAACGGGAGCTTTAGCCACCAGGCCACCGTTCCTGACATCACACAGTGATTTGGCCAATGGGAACCAATAACTCAGGATCGTCATCTTCTGTGTGTGTATGAAACTCATACTACAATCATATAAAATATTTATATAAGAAAATTTTCCTACATGAGGCCAAACCATTCCGCATGGTTTAGTTATTAAATTATCACTAAATCATTAGTGTCCTCATGTAGAAGAGACTGGAACATAAAGAAGTTAGTCCAGGGGTTATTACACGGAGCGAGAAGTTAGTCCCGGAAGTTATTACAAAGGAGCGAGAAGTTAGTCCAGGAGTTATTACACGGAGCGAGAAGTTAGTCCAGGAGTTATTACACGGAGCAAAGAAGTTAGTCCAGGAGTTATTTCACGGAGCAAGAAGTTAGTCCAGGAGTTATTACACGGAGCAAGAAGTTTGTCCAGGAGTTATTACACGGAGCAAGAAGTTAGTCCAGGAGTTATTACACGGAGCGAAAATACAAGACGTAGTTACAGTTACATAATGATACAATGTCATTTTAAGATAAGTCTGTATGTTTGCCAACAATACGTTAGATTGACTGACACCTAAAATTACTGTGAAGCATTCAGGTGTAAGTAACAAAATTAAGAGAATCGTGTGGTAATAAAACTAGAAAAAAATTAGTGTAGGCAAATTTTTTTGTTTTTGTTTTTATTAAAAACGAAACTACATAAAAAATTTGAATATAAACTGTAAATCATACAAAAGTGAACTCCAAAACCATAACCATCATACATATGTCCTCCTGCGGACGGTTATGCCTTCAAACAATGTCAAAAAACCCCCTAAAGGTATTCCTCCATCTTACAACAGCAGTATGACCTAAGAATATTACACATTTCATGTATCAACGAAAGTTTTCTACCTTCAATTAAAATTAAAATTCACACTCATCCAACTGATTGACAGTTGCCATTGTTATCAATGACCAGATCCTCTCATGCATTGTCATTTCGTATTTCTCTTAATATACAAACAATACAAAAAATTTTCCCTTTAAAATAGTTGCTTCAACCTGTATATATATTCCTACTATACCATGGAAAAAACCCTCTATAAGATGACCACTTCCATATTATATATCCTCTGACATTTTTAACAATATGTATGAAATGGCCCAACCAGGGTTTAAACCCCTTATGAACTTAAAAAACTCCAGTTATAATTATCCCCCAAAAAACCTTCTCTTCCTGACAACACACAATTCCCCCCTTTTAACCCCCCCATGTTACCCCCCATGTTACCCCCCCATGTTACATATTATAACTAAAACCAGTGAGTTCCTTATATCTCACAATAACATTATATGCACATGCAAAAAGGTCGCCTTACACAGAAGGCTTCCTTTTAAAAATTGGTAACATACATCCCTATAGTCTTACAATATATACATTTGCGTATATACTCGATCACACATACCCACACCCATCCATATACACACATTAACACAACAATAGATAAGACTTTTACAACCTTATATTTTAATCTTTTATTAGGAAAAAAGCAAGGCAATTGAATAATTTTGATAAAAACATGATTACTCTGTATTTCCTTTATACCAAATGTTAACAATGCATTGATTGTTCCCTCTTGAGTTTTCTCACTTACAAAGATCATTTACCTTTTTAAAACTATGATCATCAATGACCTATTGTCTTTCAACACATGGCTAAACTGAAACATTCACACACAAAAACTTTTTTCCACGTACACCACACTGACATGCATTCCCTCGCATACAACTCTCATGACAATCCTACCACATTTACATTTTCCTTCATTATGTTTATATTCGCGCTATAAAAGGAAAATGGTCCCTTAGTACTTAAGTAGCCAAATTACTGAGTCCCTTTACCGTTATATTTCTATATGCCTCCGGAACGCAGTTGCCCACCTTTTACTAAAAAATGAGTTTATTTCTACAGACTGTGCGATAAATTCCTGCTGCAATTGCTCTTACCCCAATCCCCCCACCTTTTTCCTTCAGCCCCAGGAATAAAACAAGAAATCTGTCACAATGTACAGGATGGCTCTCTTTATGACCTCAGACACCCCCCTTACCTCTAAAGTTAAGGCACGCAGGAGCTCTACATTGCCCCCACCCCTTAACCTGAAGACTCTGGCCAGCCACAACCGTACCTGCCCAAAATCCCTGCAAAAAATATACGGGATGAAAGGCTGTTTCCGATTCCTCACAATGTTCGCATTTCGCCTCCTTTACCAAACCATCACACACAAAGCCTGCTTTGATGCTAGAATTCCCATTACAAACCTATAAACTAACTCCCTTACCCTCGGCATTAATCTAAGTTCTGGAAATCATGCCAAATCGTACCCCAATCCATACAAAGGGTATACCGCCACCCTTGCATGACTTCTTGTTTCCTACTCATCTCTTCCACCTTCCCACCTTGAGCTTTTTTTACCTCACCTATTACTAACATAGGACACCCCTGTCTCAAAAACCCTTTTTCCATTTTTCAACACGCTACCCAACCTACCATTAATTTGCACCTGAAAACGTGGCTTCTTCATACAAGGTCTTTACCCATTTTACTACTCCCTCCCCAAACCCATAACCTTAAGTGTCAACCATGTACTCCCCATTCACACCGTCATAAGCATTCTCCCAATCAATGCCCAAAATTCCACCACCCTTAAACACTGCAAAAATTCCCAATACCTATGTCCCATCCCTCTCTACGACCCGGAATTCCCACTGACCCTTTCACAATACCACCCCATTTCCCTCTTATCCCGTTCCCTAAATTTCGAAAAATCTTATAAT